CCATTGTATTTTATTACATAAGCAGTGAATATCCTTGATATACTTTACATAACTTGTAAGTATTCTTAGTATTCTTTACATAACTTGTAAGTATTCTTAGTATTCTTTACATAACTTGTAAGTATTCTTGGTGTTCTTTACATAACTTGTAAATATTCTTGGTATTATTTTCATAACTTGTAAATATTCTTGGTGTTCCTTACATAACTTGTAAGTATTCTTGGTATTTTTTACATACCTTGTAAGTATTCTTGGTATTCTTTACATAACTTGTATTATTGGTATTCTTTACATAACTTGTAAATATTCTTGGTGTTCTTTACATAACTTGCAAGTATTCTTGGTATTCTTTACATAACTTGTAAGTATTCTTGGTGTTCTTTACATAACTTGCAAGTATTCTTGGTATTCTTTACATAACTTGTAAATATTCTTGGTATCCTTTACATAACTTGTAAATATTCTTGGTATCCTTTACATAACTTGTAAATATTCTTGGTATCCTTTACATAACTTGTAAATATTCTTTTTTTTATTACATAACTAGTAAGTATTCTTGGTATCTTATTTTATAACCTTACAATTTTCTTACAAACATTAAAATATTTTATCTGTACAAATGTGTATACAACATTTATAGTTATATTTATAGAAAATGACGTACAAAGATGTATCTGAACACAAACACGACATAACGCCATAAACTTTTGTCATTCACATGGATGAGAGTATTTGTCTATTCTAGTTAGTCGGGATAAAAAGGTCTTTAATGTTAAAATAATGGAGCTCATTGTTGGAATAGATGATACTGTTTTGTTCGAGACATGCTTAGAAAACTTTCAATCTTTCCGTTCATGAAAACAAACAAAAGATGTCGCTTTTTTGACACTTGTGTACACAGGATTCCTATTCACTCCAATTCAGATATCCTGTTCTGTTGACAGTGCTGGCTAGCATATGGTAAGTTGTAACCACGTGCAGGAATGATTTCCCATCTATATTATAATATGAATATTATATTAATATGAATCTTTCTTCAGTGAACTTTCAGTGCAGCTGTTTGTACTTGAATCCGTATCCGGAAGAGACTGTAAGCAAGTTGAAATGTCTTTCTTTAGTTGACGGATACTTTTTTCCAAATGGCGATTTCTTACGAGCAAATCTGCAGTTGTCATGGTCACCTGCATCAACTCATTTCTGTGCAGAACCTCTGCAGTGCGAAGGAATCTCTTCTTCTGTTCGTCAATCTGTTTCCAGCCATTTGATTGGCTGAAACTTTCAGAACTTTCTGATGACATGGAGTGGGAATCTTTTTCTTCAATGCTTTCAGGAAGGTCATCACCGTTGCTTCCACTAGGACTGTTGTCACAGTTTTTTTTAATGACTCCCTTCTCATCCATCTGCTGAATTCAACAACTTCGAGTTCAGATGTAGTGAGTAAAATGTACGATTATACCTAGTAAATCAGCAGCTTTTATTTCTCCAGTTTCTGTTTCTGGAAAAGAAAACCACAACCCAAATTCTATGTTTGATATTACACAAATATTATATATATAGATATAAAGAGAAATTTTTAAAGTGACAGAAACTCTTCATATACAAGTAATAAAAAATATTTTGTAAACGTAAAATGATGTTGGGACAACAGTGCCAAAAAGAATGCAAACAAGAATATAAGGATAATTACAGCTCTCCATAGATCATCCCTACATGACTTTCAATATTAAAAACTAGCCGTCTTTACCTGGACGGAGGGCCGATGTTTAGCTATATTTAAACAGAAAGGATCAAAATTTAGCTTCTCATGTAACAATAAATGCCAAATGCATAAAAGTACCAATAGTGTTTGTTTTTGAATTTCGCGCAAGCTACACGAGGGCTATCTGCGCTAGCCGTCCCTAATTTAGCAGTGTAAGACTAGAGGGAAGGCAGCTAGTCATCACCACCCACTGCCAACTCTTGGGCTACT